CCTCATTCTGCCTGCATCCAGCCCCTGGCAACCTCTAGTCTGCTATCTGTACCAATGAATTTGCCTACCCTGTATATTTTACATAAATGGAATCATATAATCAGTGGTTCTTTGTATCTGCCTCTTTCATTTAGCATAATGTTTTCAAGGTTCATTTTTATTGTAACCTGTGTCAGTCCATTCCTTTTCATGACTGAATAATATTCCACTGTATGGGTATACTGCCTTTTGTTTATCTACTCATTAGTTCACAGAGAACTATTTCATTGTAAAGGAGATTTTATTCAGAAAGTAATTGTCAACTAAACGATTGGATATACATTTGCAGGTTTGATTACCTACACACACACACACACACACACACACAAACAAACACACACACACAATGTGGTGCCTAAAGGCTTTCAAAGAAATCTGATGTCTATTTGTAGAAGCCTGAGTATGAGAAGCATTATAAATCCAGAAGCTTATGAGACAGCACTGGGTCTGACCTATAGATTCAGGATTCATCTATATGCAGATGGAACATGAAAGCATGGGAGTGAATGAAATTGCCGCAGGTAGTAGGTGTAAAGGAGCCCAGGACAGAACTTTGGGGATCAGTGGAGATGATGATAATAAAACTCAACTCAGGTAAACCCTCAGGCTCATCATTTGAAAAGAAAACACATCCTACTTTTCAAAAAGTTTGTAAGAAAATTAAATGAGTCAACATATGCAAAGCCACTGGTACCTGGCTTATAGGTAGGACCTCACTAATGGTGGCTGTCATTGTTACTATATATATTTGTGCTATCACTATTGTCAGTTTCTGCATCTGTTGCTTTATTTCACTAACTTGTAACATCATATCAGGACTACCGATTTTGAAACAAGCTTTCCTACCCTCTTAAAAAATCAGTCTGTCTTTAGTTTTGTTGTTGTTGTCCTTCTCTGACTAGCTTCTTCCATAATACGAAAGGAAGCTAAAGGAGTCTTAATTAGGTGGAGAGATGCTGGAGGCACAGCACAGAGTTCCAGGTGACTGATCTCGTTCTGCCTACACATGGGAAGGTGTTCCCGATTCCACAGCTTAGAAGAGAGCCATTCTGGCCCCAGATCATCAAGATGTTAAAATTCTTTCTCTTCAGCTTTCTTTGTTGTGATATTGGCAAGGGGAAAGTTAGTTACTTCACGTCTCAAAAACACTTGTTTTTTTTCCCTCCCATTTTTGGTCAAGAATAGCTGACAAAAATTCATAACCCAGCCTAAAAACAATTACACTGTAGAAACTGACTTTAAGTTTTTCATGAAGTTCTGGAGTCAGAAGTGAAAAATCATTGGAGAGAGTGTTTTAAGCTGATCAGATGATCAATTATAGTGTCTTAAACTTGTTATTCCTAGAAGATCTTTGAGTATCATTGCTCTCTTCTGAAGAATTTTTTTGAGTATTTTAAAATTAACTCTCAAAAGCACTGGCCACCCCTCTCCACTCATTTTTCACACAGTTGGTATGACTGTCTCTTCCTGGGTCTTCTCAAAGAGCTAGTAAGATATGAATAACTTTTACATTTCATAACTTTGTTTTAGTCTTTCTGAGTTTTCTTCATACTTTTCTAAACTTCTCACATCTTTCCACTTTTCAAGGGGGAAAAGTTTTCAGTGTTTTTTCTTATTCAATAGTTTGATTAGGTTTGTTTTCTGGGATGTCACATCTTTGGTGTATTCCTGTATGCATTCCATGTATGGGGCTGTATTCTGTGGATGGGAAATATGACTTCTGGTGGACTTCTAAAACTACAGAGCAGCATTGCATTGTGTGAACATGTGCAAATTCTTTCAGCCCTTATTCCTGACTGATTTGTTGTAGACTGAGGGGATGAAATACAAAAAGTGACTTGTATTCATCTACACAAATAATGCTGGGAACAGACTCTTTCCTGAAGCCTGATCCAGAGTACTTTTCACTGGAAAATGGACAACATGTGACATTCATGACCTAGTTCCTACTGGCTATTGTCCAAATTTAGTGGTCAAAAACAGGACAGAGTCCATGGAAAACTACTATCGCCCGCTCTGTTACTAATTTAATACAAGAATGACTGGAATCTGTCTGTATTTTCGGATCTATTTGGTAGGGCACACAGTCTGTCATCTCACGGTCAAGTTACAGAAAATAGTCATTTGAAAACATAAGATAATAATAGCTTTTGTTTTATAATCCTATAAAAATGAGTAGTGATTGGGGAATATCGCATTTATTGTTCCCCAAAGCTGAATTAGAAACATGGAAAAGCCAATTAAGAGATTTGAAGCTGAAAGAAAATTATAGGAAGAAAATGATGATTTTTAACTATGGTATCTTGCCCCTATAAGGGGATAAGGCAGTTTAAGGTGAAAAGAAAGAAGTTTTTCATCATCAAAATTAAAAATGAACAGGGGGAAGGTATTCCTAAATGTTATGGGTGGGTATGTTTAAATGTCAATAAAGTTTCTATAAACTCCTCATTTGGAAGGTAAAGGAGAATAGCTTAATGTGGGAGGAGATTTTTTTAAAACAAACATTGACATTTTAAAGACCTAAACATCTTAAATGGAATGACTATTCAAATGCAAAATTAGACTAACAAAGGCATTTTGGAGATTATATTT